GTGTTTGAGAGAGTGTGTGTGCATGTGAGAGTGTGTGTGTGTGTGAGAGTGTGTGGGTGTGTGTGTGAGAGTGTGTGTGTGTGTGTGAGAGTGTGTGTGTGAGAGAGAGTGTGTGTGTGTGAGAGAGAGTGTGTGTGTGTGAGTGTGTGTGTGAGTGTGTGTGTGAGTGTGTGAGTGTGAGTGTGAGTGTGTGTGAGTGTGTGGTGTGTGTGAGTGTGTGTGTGTGTGAGTATGTGAGTGTGTGTGTGTGTGTGTGTGTGTGTGTGTGTGTGAGTGTGTGTGTGTGTGTGTGTGTGTGAGTGTGTGTGTGTGTGTGAGTATGTGTGTGTGAGAGTGTGTGTGTGAGAGTGTGTGTGTGTGAGAGTGTGTGAGTGTGAGTGTGTGTGTGTGAGAGAGTGTGTGTGAGTGTGAGTGTGTGTGAGTGTGAGTGTGTGTGAGTGTGAGTGTGTGTGGTGAGACTGCCTCCTTCTGCCTGACGGTCCGTGTCGCTCTGCTCTCTCCCTGCAGCCTGTGGGATTAGCTGCCACAAACAGTGCAAGAGCCTGTTGGTGGTCGAGTGTCGGAAACGCACCAAGAGTATCTGCCTGGACAGTCCAAACCCCACCCTCAGGAGGTCCTTCAGCTTCCCCGTCACAAACTCCAGCCCTGACTCTTCCAATACAGGTAAGGTGATGCTGGTCACACCCAGGAGAGCACAGGTTAACTGTCATCCACACACACTCACACTCACACACACAGACACACACACACACACAGACACACATACACAACACTGAGACACACAGAGACTTGCACACACACTAATATAAACACACACAATATGCAGGATCACAAACTCAAACACAGTCATATGTAGACACACACTCATGTTATTGTAATCATATACACTATTGGGACCTAAATATGTGTGTGTGTCTGTGTGTGTGTGTGTCTGTGTGTGTCTGTGTGTGTGTCTGTGTGTCTGTGTCTGTGTGTGTGTCTGTGTGTGTCTGTGTGTGTGTGTGTGTGTCTGTGTTTGTGTGTGTGTGTATGTGTGACTGAGTATGTGCACTTGAGCATAAGTGTTATGGAAGAATATGTGAGTATTTATTGTGTAAGAATGTAAGTGTGTGTTGTGTAAGAGTGTGTGCGAGTGTGAGAACGCTTTTTATTTATTCATGGGACATGGGCATCATTGGCTGGGCCCAACATTTATTGCCCCGTCCCTAGTTGCCCCTTGAGAAGGTGGGGGTGAGCTGCCTTCTTGAACCACTGCAGTCCATGTGCTGTGGGTAGACCCACAATGCCCCTTAGGGAGGGAATTCCAGGATTCTGACCCAGCGACACTGAAGGAACGACCGATATATTTCCAAGTCGGGATGGGGAGTGGCTCGGAGGGGAACTTGCAGGGGGTGGTGTTCCCATGTATCTGCTGCCCCTTGTCCTTCAAGATGGAAGTGGTGGTGGGTTTGGAAGGTGCTGTCTAAGGAGCCTCGGTGAGTTGCTGCAGTGCGTCTTGTAGATGGTACACACTGCTGCGACTGAGCGTCGGTGGGGGGAGGGAGTGGGATGTTTGTGGATGTGGTGCCAATCAAAGTGGGGGCTGCTTTGTCCTGGATGGTGTCGAGTTTCTTGAGTGTTGTTGGAGCAGCCCCCATCCAGGGGCAAGTGGGGGGTATTCCCTCACACTCCTGACTTGTGCCTTGTCGATGGTGGGACAGGCGTTGGGGGCGGTGGAGGGGGGGAGCCAGTCATACTTTAAATAGGAGGAACAAGAGAGCGAGTGGATGATTAAGTTTTGGGAGACTGACCACCGAGTAAGATCAGAGCAAAAGCCTCTGGAGGTTGGGTTGCTGTTCCACAGTTGGTGTTGGAAAGCTGATATCAGACGCATTGGGACTAGCGTGTGCAGTTGGAGAGGGATCAGTGATTTCTAAAGATCACTGCCTCACAGTATAATAGGTCAGAAGTCACACGGCAGCAGGTTATAGTCCAACAAGTTTGTTTGAAATCACAAGCTTTCGTAGCGCTGCCCCTTCGTCAGGTGACCTGACCCTCACTTCATCTGATGAAGCAGCGACGCTCCAAAAGCTTTCCAAAAGATTTCAAATAAACCTGTTGGACTATAACCTGCTGCCGTGTGATTTCTGACTTTGTCCATCCCAGTCCGACACCAGAGTTCATTAGAAAAGGAAGCCTTTCATTTTTTGAGCCTAATCAGTGAAGAGTTTAAATTTAAGAAGTCTTAATCTTTTGCATTTAGTTTTTGTAAATCTATAGTAGTAAGGTGAGGTTACATTTTTTTTAATGAGATTTGATTCTTGTCTGACTTTTAAAATAAAAGATAGGCATTGAGTTATTCCAGAGCAGTATTTTTAAGCAGGGAGGCTGTGCTAACGCTAACTTCTTGAGCAAAGTGCGGGAATTTTAGGTAATTTCTAGGTTTGAGGTTGTAGACTTGCTCGTCGAGCCAGTGGGTTTGGTTACAAACGTTTCGTCACCTGCTAGGTAACACCGTCAGTGCGCCTCCGTTGAAGCGATGGTGTTCTGTCCGGCTTGTTATTTATATGCCTCAGTTTTCTGGGGTGGTTGGCATCACTTCCGGTTCTGTTTCCCAGTGGTTTGTATATCGGGTCCAGCTCAATGTGTTTGTTAACAGAGTTCCGTTTGGAACGCCAGGCCTCCAGGAATTCCCTGGCATGTCTCTGTTTGGCCTGTGCGATTATGGATGTGTTGTCCCAGTCAAATTCGTGTCCTTCTTTGTCCGTGTGTATTGAGACCAGTGAGAATTGGTCGTATCTCTTGGTGGCTAGTTGGTGTTCGTGTATCCTTATTGTTAGTTTTCTTCCGGTTTGGCCTATGCAGTGTTTCTCTTGCAATACCAGCTCATCTATAATAGCATGAGCCACACAAAGATATGCCAGGGAATTCCTGGAGGACTGGCATTCCAACCGGAATTCCATCAACAAACACACTGAACCAGACCCTATATACAAACCACTGAGAAACAGAACCGCCCAGTGATACCAACAATCCCACCAAACCGAGGCATAGAAATAACAAGCGGGATAGAACGCCCATCGCTTCACCGGAGGCGCACTGACAGTGTTACCTAGCAGGGTGACAAAACGTTTGTAACCAAACACACTGGCTCGGCGAGTCACAAACTCATCCGCAACCCGAGCTACAAATCTTCTCAAACACTTTATATTTCCAGGTCTGTAGATTGTTGAAGAGACAAATGTTTTCTGAGCAGGGGGATGTGCTCTTCCAGTCAGATGGGGGATATCAGGAAGAATGTGACGGTCCCTGGAGACTGTGCATGTGCGAAGTGTGTTTGGCTGTGGATCTTAGCGAACTGCATGGATCAGGTGAAGTGTCAATTAGAGGCAATGACGAATTTACAGGGGCCGGGGGTGTGATAGATGGTAATTTCAGGGAGAGGGAGACAGGCTACATACAGTCACGTGGATGGGTGACTGGTGGGAATGGTAGGAGAAGTAGCCAGGTAGTGCAGGAGGCTCATGTGGCTATTCCAATCACAAAAAGTGTTTGTAGATGATTCCGACCCTCCGACAGTGCAGCACACCCTCACTACTGACCCTCCGACAGTGCGGCACACCCTCACTACTGACTCTCCGACAGTGCGGCGCTCCCTCATTACTGACCCTCCAACAGTGCGGCGCTCCCTCAGCACTGACCCTCCGAC